ATATTCAATGCATCTGGTTGGAAGATTTAGCAATGGTGCCATTTCCTCCGATCTCAGTCTTGTGAGTTTGATTTACTTCTGAGTATGATAAAGAATGATTGTCTTGAACTTTGGTTCTATTTGCATGCAGCTTGTCGTTTATTTCTAGGAATTCTTTAAGACTTTCTGGGTGTCTGTTGCCTTTGATTTCCTCATCTATGAGGAAGCAATGAAGAATAGTGGTAGCAGCAAAGGAAAACACTGATAAGAATATAGCGCTTAGTAACACAGCTATGATAACTACCACAATAATGGGGAAAACTGGTGAGTAAACTTCGTCTTTTAGGTCCGAATTCATAATGATTATGTAAGCTATCCAAGCACTCAATGCAGCAATCAAAAGTCTGCCTAAGAATATCAAGATGCCTCCGATTGAATTAGTCATGGAGAATCTACCAGCATTACGTACCACCAAACTGAAAGCCAATCTAGCTGAGGTGCAGAAATTCTTGCTAGTTAATGCCATTTGAATATAGGCATTCTTAGCAATGAATCTAACACAAGAATCAAGATACTGAATAAAGCAGCCAATGATGCAGCACATACACCTGGCAATGCAGCTTTAAGCCTGGAGATTACGAGTTTTTCTTCTTAAATACTCAAAGATCAACTTTATCATTTGCATGATTGCAATAAGTAGGGAACCAAAAGCAATTGATCCAACGTGGTAACGGAATATCCACTTGATGCCCATTCTAAGGTTTGCTTTGCCTTTATCATCAGAAGAGCCACCTTAAGAGAAATACCATAAAGCAGCCACTGCAGCAATGATGAATTAAGCACAAGCTATTATGAAAGCACTGATCCAGAGTAATCCAAACAAGTGATAGATCCACACATATCTTGTAGTTGTTTCCCATTTCATTTCAGCAAAAGGACTCCCATCTCTTTTCTCAATAGTTCCAACACTAAATACCCAAATTGCTGAAATAATCCAAAAGACGATCCAGCTGCTTATGATAAAGAAAAAGATGGCTGGGACAAAGAATATCTAAGGCGTATTTCTTACGAAGTCAGAAGCAGCTTGCATAATAGCAGCAGCTAGTCTGATTGCACCCCAGCAGCAGCAAATAGCTAGTAGGAACAACCCGCACATAATCCAAAGCATTATGCCCATTCCTATCATTACAGCCCTTGTATGGTCTTTACCTTCATACTTAACTCCCAGATAAAACACATAAAAGCCTCCTCCAAGTAGAAGTAAAAAGATGAGAACTAGTGAGATATAGATCATTGGCTTGGCAATCCACTTAAGTAAGATGAGATAGATCAAGCATAGAGTTGTTGATATCCCAGCCATTATCAAGAAAAGATACCAAGCTGCTCCGAGATCACCAAAGTACCTGGCAAGATTACCGCTAGCAAATTTGTCTATAATAGAATCCTTGAGAGTTGAATTAGTTGGGAGACAGTATCGACCAATGTCTAATTGATAAGTTAATTATGCTAGAATTGAATATCTTACATCTTTTGGATTCATAGTCAGCCTCTGGACAGCTTGAAAATTGAGTATTAGGAACACATTGAGTTAGATTCCCTTTGTCAGGACAGTACTTCACACAGACAGTCTGATCTAAACCATTAGGATTGAGGACGAGATTATTCAAGTTAGGCCAGTATAGGACCTTGTAGTCTGCCATAGCAGATCCCTTCAGTCCACATTAATTGCCTACAGATGACTTAGCTTAATTGTAACTGTACCATCAGAGTCAAAAGGCGTTATGAGTTTAACTGGGTCTCCCTTTGCATAGCCATAGGCAGCCGTTGCAAACATCCCACAGAAAAATACAGTGAATATGATGCACATGAACACATCGGTGCATTGGCGATCTGTCACTACTCCATTTTACAACTCAGGAGGGGTCTTGTTCTTTTCATCGTTCTATTATTTTGATAGGTATATTGATAGTGATAATTGAGAGATTGCTTACTGCTGTTTGAATGTCTTTTTCAACATATGAGGAGCTACCTGCTCTGTTTCCCATTAATTAAAACTAAATTTAAATAAACTAATTAACAATCAACTTACGATTTATCCTAATAATTTACTTCTACTATATTTAACTCTGCCTGCTCTCAACTAATTTATTAATTTAATTCAATTTAAGTAAATCGTAAATGCCACAATAACTGGGGTTTTGGGGTTTTGGGGTTTTTTAGAAAAGCTTA